AACCCAAATGATATCACAGTGCAGATGGAATGGAAGGAAGGATAGTCTTGAAGAGTTGAAGGATTCAGAAATGGTGAACTCTGTTATATCTCTATGTAATTTATCAGGAAGGCATTGCAAAATCTAAATCGATTGTGGTGTATAACATCACATCGTAATATGTGGCTATTTGATTGGTAAAACATGCTTCTGCAGCCATGAAGAAGGAGATAAAGGAACTGTTCACACCACCATGTGGTGGGAGTGGCATGCACAATGAGTATGTTTTCAAGGTTTTACTACAGGGCTAGGTGTTAACAATATGGGTCAAAGGCGTCTGACTACCCCATGGACCATAACGTTAACCCAATAAATTGTTGACATTTTATTTGAACCTGATGAACAACAACTGGCAAATACTCTAGGTATGCAGGAAGACATATGCTCCAAATCACAAGAGTCAAACTCTAAAATGTTTCAGAAACATGCTACAATATTTAGAGGTCAGTAATGTGGAGTGTGAAAGTCAGCTGCTTCAAATAAAAGACAAAGAGTTTTTCCTTCTCCCTCTTACCACTGATGAAGGAGCACAACCCTAAATCAACTTTTTTGGGCTTTGAAAGCAGCAGAGATGGCATGTAGGAATGCTGCTTGAACTCGTTTCTCAGGAGGAAAATCACATGGGAGGCTGTTACTAGTGAAGTAGCTTCAGAACAAAGAAGTATTCTGCAGCAGGTTTAGGCTGTACTGTACAAACTTGCCAGTCTGGTCTAATGATCCCACAGATTCCACAGTACTGCAGCTATCTGGAGACATTTCTGGTAAAGCCTGAAGGAGAATCACATTACAGACATTCAGGGTTCTAAGAGACAGTTATGCTCTGCAGCAGAGAATTACAGGAATAATTGAAAGCATCATTTGGCTCGCTTTATGGGTCCCAGTGGATATTGAGATCCTGATTATAGGCAATTAAGTGATCATATAGCCAGAGTCATCCATCATGACATTAATTATGTCAGACTCATCATGTCAACAGCAAAAGTCCATCCTAAATTGGAGCTGGAGTATCTGAAGTGGACTTAAGTATGTCTAGGAGACAAGAATAATTTACAATAAGAGAGCCACATCCCCAACTACCCAGACATTCTGCATCTACACTTATGCTTCAACTTGTACAATGGCTTCAGAGGGGCTAACAGGATAAAACACAAGTGTTCAAAAAATGGAAAGAAAGAAACACAGGAATTGTTCACAAGTGGCTTATCCCAGTATGGCCTGCAGGTTAAAAATGGACTGACATTGAATTATACTCTAACTGAAGCATAATCCTGAAAGGCTGTGGTGAGATGTGCCCAGGAGATAGATTATTTGTGTGGAGAACCCCATGTTCTACTTATAATTAACAGTCTGAGTTGCAAAAATGCATCTAATCATGGATCTTAGGGAATGGCTTGGCCGAATGTTCAGCGACCTGGAAGACTCAAGATGAGAAGACTTGAAACAAGGAGGTCTTAGGAAAGAGCAAGTGGGTGCTCTTAGAGAAGAGGGCACAAAGCACAGACACCTGTAACTCTGTATCAACATCCCCACACCACCAGAAACCATCCAGTGCATATGAAGTACTAACCACAAAGTAAAAAGGATTGCTTGCTGGTTGGCTTCTGCCCTGTGCTTTGCAATGATCGCATCAATGGGGCATCTAAATTACAAAACTAGAGACATCAGTGGGCCAAAAATCGATGCCTTCTCACTAGGAAGTGATCGAAGTAACACACTGCTAAATATCTGGCCAATAAGAAATAGCAGTCTTGAACTGAGTCTATGCTATTGTCTCGTAACAACTGAGATCGTGGGGCATCAGCTTCCCAAGTGCCTTAGCAGGGAGCTGGTTTGGAAACAGAGCAGCAGGGTCTCAAACCAGCACCCATATGGGATGCCAGAATCACAGGTAGAGGCTTAATCTGACATGCTCACAATGCTAGACCCAAAGCCAAACTTAAACCACAGCTTCAGCCCCTCTACCATCCTGGTTTTCTCGCTCCCTGCTGGGTTCCTCCTGAGATCATCCAACATATATATCATTTTCACAAACACCTCCTTTTAGCTCTGCTTTTAGGGAACCTCATCTAAGATAAAGCCCAAGCCTAGTTTTCTAAAAGATATCAGTACTTTGGTGCTGGGCTAAAGCTACGGGTGATTGAACATGAAGCCTCAGATTTCTAGGCAAGCGAGGCTCCCTATATGTTCAGATTGCAGTGGAGGATGGTACTGGGTATGAGGCCATGTCTAAAAATGAATGGGTTCTGATGCAGTAGACAGTGGCACTAGCTATGAGAAGCAACAAACGCAAACATTGGGGGCTGTACTGCAAGGTCAACGTTGTTAGTTTTTCTCTAGCCAAATCAGAAATCAACTCTGCAGATTGGAAAATATGCAGACGAGGAAAAATCCTCTGTACTTAGAGGAACTGCCATCATGAGATCAAGTCTATGTTTGGATCAGGGCAATCATGAGGGACTTATATGTTTTTTAATGAGAACAGCCCAGCATCACGCTCGCCACTACATTCAGCCAATGCAATCAATGAATTGCCTCCCTGGGCTATTAGCCCCATGTTATAGGTATCCAGTTATGACACCAAATAAACATTTGCTTAGTGGAAGAATGAATCATAATATCCTCAATGGCAGCTTGTGTGTAGTTGAAGTGCCTGGAGCCTGCTTATCACTGTGTATAATGTTCGTTCATAACGCATTCTGAGCTGGATAACCGAGGCTCTGTGCACACAGGATACAGTTATCTCCTTCTAAAGGATGTGGGGATGATTAATCAGCTAATTCCACAAATGCTCCAGGGAGAAAGATCACTTTATAAGAACTAATTATGAATATCACACTGTGTGTATGCCATACATTCATACCTCTGAAGTTGAATGGAATGTTTTTATTTATTGTTATAACAAGCATTTATTAGATTTGATATATCATTTCTTTTTTACATCACTTAACATTACATTGCAGTCCAAAACATACTTTCTGTGTATTAAATTACAGAAATAAGTCTGATTTTGCAGCCAGGGAATCAGCACTAACTGCTTCTCATTTGGGGTTTGTTCAACATTGCAGACAAAGCCTATTATCATTTAAAACACATTAAACATGGCAGAGTTCATATTCTTACTTTACTGTATATAAGATAGGAGACTTTGGGAAAAAATCAGTAAAGCTCCCTGTCGTGCAATTTTCCCATTTGTTGAATAACAGGGTATATCTTATGGGAAAAAATGGTACAATGCAAGTAAAAATACCTGGCTCACTATTAACAACCAGTAATCATCCATGTAACTGCTAGTTTGAACAGGCATGAATGGAAGTGCATAACCAAAAATATTTTATATACCTTGTCAAATTTACTCATAAGAGGTATTTTACTACACCATTGCAGGTTGCACACTTTTTCTGCATACTCCAGGTTCGCTTATGCCACAATAAGCCTCAATTTAGCAATTAGGATGACCAATTCTATAGTAGTGCCTCTTTTTTCCCAGCTACAACAGAGTTGGAGCATATTTAAAGCCTAGAGCCTGGCCTCCTAGCCATGAAACCAGATAATTCCGGCTGCATATTTGGTTCTTTGACCCTGCAAACGGCCTTTCTTTCTTGGAAACCTGGTTCTTGAGCCTTGGAATGTGACCTAGCAAGCATGCCCCATCTCTGCTCCAGGTGTGAAATTGGACCCATGAGTTTAACTTAATGTTCCAGTGTGGAAGTGGATGCTGTAGGCAGGTGATCCTGCGTGGAGTCATGGAACATGCCCTCCATATATGAACTCAGCAACTCTGAAACTGAATGTCGTTCTTGCAAGCATGAAATATGGCCTTCCAGACAAGAGAAGTGGGCCAGCAATCACCATAGTCATGTACCATAATTCACGTGTGCATGAAATGTGGCATAATAGACAAGGGATCTGGATTTCATACGCACAAATCAACTTTCTGTTTCGAGGCATGGGAATTCAGTTGTGGAGACTGGCCAACAGTAATTAAGTGTCAGGTCCAAAGGCATGCTTGAGCTATGCTTAGAACTTGATTCTACAAATAAGGATCTTTCAATTCTGTATGGAATGTTAAGTCTGGAGGCTTTGAATCTGATCAAATAGTTAGAAAATCTTGTCTTTAATGTAGGTCTTTTAAGTGTGAATTTCTACTTTTCCAAGCTTTAAATCCAGTCTTACATTTAAGACCCAGCCACATACACGGATTAGAGCCTCAGGAATGGGAAATATCGCTTTCAGCATTAAATACAATCCTCTGCTTGTAGAAAGTGTCCCTTTAATTGTGAAACTTAGACCTTGAAGCATGGAAATATGACTTTCCAAACATTTACAGCAACTACAAATGGAAATTCTGCTTACAAATTCAATTGGAGTTTTACGTGTGGAGCCTGAACTTATTTATGAACTATATAAACAAGAAATAGAGGTTGACAACTCAACATGAGAAACCTTGCCAATTGTACACTACAAATGTGTAGTTTCCATCTCAAAATATGGAACTCGGCTACAAGTGTAAAAACCGACCCTTTGTGCATGGATTTCAATGTCAGAGTATGATATCAGCCTCAATAAGCATGAACTTTCCACCCATGGAATCATAATCAACAATCATGGAGTCTAGTCTTATAATATTCACAAATGGAACCTCAATCTTCACATACAGAACAAGTGCTTGCTCATGCAACATGACACTTCAGACTAGGAACTTTTCATGTGAGCTGCAGAATAAGTTATGGCCCATATCTGCCAAGCATGAAGTTCATAATATATGTATTCATGCTTGATATTCAAACAGACACAGCAAGTATACTCTAGTTTACCAAGGGTAGACTGTAAAATACTATATGTAGGGCCCTGTACATCCTTCCTCCAACATTCATGTCCCCTAAGGGCGGTCGTGTCCAGACATGGCCTCAGCATCCCGAGAGGCAGAGGCTGTGGCATTCATGCTCCGGGTATTCACTCACCTTCCCATGGCTCAGCAGGATGATCCGCACCAGCACCACGTTGATGTGGGCCCCCAAAGACTCATCGTGGTAGATTTCACTGACCTGAAAGACAAGCAGCTTGTGGTCAGCAGTGCCCCCCGAGCATTGCCCTTCTGGGACCACCCCTTATATCTCCTTCCATACACCCCTCTCCTGCTTGCTGCCCTGGATGTCCCCAGAGTCACTCTCAAGCCCAGCCCCTGGAATTCTTCACCCGGAGCAAAAGCCTAGACAGGGAATCAATCCCTGTATTGGCTGTCTGAATTGCATCTTTCCTTCAAAACCTGGCAGCCCAGGTGGTGTGGCCCCGCCCCCAGCAGACAACACTGCATGGCTACTGCTGTTGGCAGCTGTGGTGTCCCCACTTGGGTGGGGACAGAGCCTCTGCCAGGTCTCAGTGTCTCCTGAGTTACTAAGGACAGACATCCCAGGCAACACCATCACCCCTGGGTGTCTACGGTTGAGAGGGCTCCCAGAATCCAAATCCACCAACACTCACATTGCATATAAAATGTATGTGTTCTTTGCATGAAACCCACATACTTCATCTATTTTCTTTTTAAGATTTATTTTCTTTTTAATTGGAAAGTCAGATATACAGAGAGGAGGAGAGACAGAGAGGAAGATCTTCTGTCTGATGATTCACTCACTAAGTGAGCGCAAAGGCCGATGCTATGCCAATCCGAAGCCAGACGCCAGGAACTTCTTCCGGGTATCCCACACAGGTGCAGGGTCCCAAGGCTTTGGGCCGTCCTCGACTGCCTTCCCAGGACACAAGCAGAGAGCTGGATGGGAAGTGGAGCTGCTGGGATTAGAACCGGCGCCCATATGGGATCCCAGCTCGTTCAAGGCTAGGACTTTAGCTGCTAGGCCACGCCGCCGGGACCCATCTGTTTTTTTTAAAGATTTATTTATTTTTCTATGTGAGGCAGAGTTAGAGAGAAGGAAAGACAGAGATCTCTCAACTGATGGTTGACTCCCTAAATGGCTGTAATGGCTGGAGCTGGGCTGGTCCAAGCTGGCAGTCAGTAGCCCCTTATGGGTCTCCCAGGCAGGTGCAGGGGCCAAGGACTTGAACCATCCTCTGTTGCTTTCCCAGGTGCATTAACAGGAAGCTGGGTCAGAAGTGGAACAGCTAAACTGGAGTCCATACGGGATGCTGGCACTGCAGGCAGAGGCTTAACCTGATTTGCCATGGCACCAGTCCCCTCCCTAAACTTTAAATCAGCTCCAGAATGACTAGCAATACCTGCTACAATGGCCTGGGCAACCTGTAGGTAACTGCTGTGCTGTATTGTATCATCAAGGGAATGAGGACAAAGCAAAGGTCTGTACAAAATGTGCAGTTCAGAGGCAACTGTTCTGAACTCATTTTTTTTAGGGGCCAGTGCTGTGGCATAGTAAACCAAGCCTCTGCCTGTGGCACTGGCATCCTGTATTGACACCAGCTCCGCTTCCAATGCAGCTACCTGCTTATGGCCTGGGAAAGCAATAAAGCATGACCCAAGTCCGTGGGCCCCTGCATCCATATGGGAGACCCAGAAGACGCTCCTGGCTCCTAATCAGCTCAGCTCAGCTCTGGCCATTGCAGTCATGTAAAGAGTAAACCAGCAAATGGAATACCTCTCTCTGTCTGTCCTTCTTTCTATGTAATTCTGCTTTCCAAATAAAAATAAACTTTTAAAGAACTAAAATAAACTCATATTTTAAAAAGGATTCATTTTATCTATCTGAATGACAGAGTGACAGAGAGGAAAAAAAGAAAAAAAAGACGTCTCCATATACTGGTTTACACCCTAAATGGCCAAAGCCAGAAGCCTGGAACTTTTTTGGAACTCCCTATTGGGTGGCAGGAGTTCAGGCACTCAGGCTCTAAATGTCCCAGCTGCTCCACTTATGATCTAGCTTCCTGCTAATGGCTCCAGGAGAACCAACAGAGGATGACCCAAGTGCCTAGGCCCCAGCACCCATGGGGGTGGGTAGACCCAGAGAAAGCTCTTGGCTTCAGGCTAGCACAGAGCTGGCTCTTGGGGACACTTGCGGGATAACCAGTGAAGAAAGAACAATCTCTCTCTCTCTCTCTCTCTCTCAGTTTGGAACTCTGGTTTTCCAGCTTTGCTGAGTGAAACCCGAGCTGTGAGTGGTTCCAATGGAGCAGTGATGGCATGGCAGCATTACTGAGGAGAAGGTGCAGGATGAGGGTGGGTGATTGGTAAGGATGGTGCTGGAGCCACAGCACCTAGGGGCCACTGTCATGGGGTCGTCTTTGCTATAGAGATCCCTAGATTGGTAAGAGGCTGGCAGCTTTGCTTTGGGCAGCTCTCCCAACGTGGGTCAGGTCTTGGGTCAGGCCAGGCTGGGCCAGTTCATAGCACCCACTAGGAGATGTGAGAACCAGGATGGGGTACAGGACAGGCTGAGTTGGGTCACAACACAAGCCAGTGCACATTTGTGCCAGAACTAGGGGCAGGCCAGGTCAAGCCAGGCTACATGGCAGGCCACTCCAGGCTTGGCCGCAGCACCCACCACCACATGTAAGACCTCAGGTGGTGGGGGACAATCCCATTAGGGGTACTGAAGGGGATCCCCTGCTACACCATTGTACCCACTGCCGAGCAGGAGACCTAGGACATGGGGCTGACCAGACTTGGCAGGGCTACAACACTTGTTGGCCTGCATTGAGCTGGGTTAGCAGGAGTCAGACTGGGTCAACTGGCTATATCCACTGGGGCATGCATGAGCCAGAGTAAGTGCAGGCTGCTCAGGCTTTGCTGCAGCATCAGTTGGCATGCTGGGAATGGGAACAAATCCTGTGAGACTACACTACAGAACCACCTGAAAAGTATAAGATCTGGGCCTGGAAGCAGGCCTAATTGGGACACTTGGATACCCCTCTATTGGGGTACAGCTCCCACCAGTGAACATAAGAACCAGGGCTGAGGCAGGCCTTGCTGGACAGGTGGTTGCACCCATCGGCATAAGTATGGGTGGGACATGGTACCGGTCAAGTGAACTAGGCTGCAGCTCGCACTCATGTGTACAAAAGTCAAATGGGATGTGGGATAGACTAGACAGTCTGCTGCACATGCTGGCAAGCACAGGAACTAGGTTTGGGTGGTGGGCCTGGTGGGCATTACTGGGGGTTGCTCTGACTAGGCTACAGTTCCCATTGATTTACATGAAGGACAAGCGTGTGGTGCACAGGGATGGGCTGGGCCACAGTATCCATTGATTTGTGTAAGAGATGGGCTGTGGACAGAACTGACTCAGAAACTGCAACCACCGGGGGGGGGGGGGGAAGCGGTGCTGAGGTGGATGAACAACTGAGCCAGACTCCACACTGGCTGACACACAAGACTCGGGTCTGGGCTTACCACAGATAAGGTTTCTTTGGGGACTTCCTCCCCATACTCCCAGACTGGACCACTGGACTCAAAACACCAAGCACAGGCAAAATCACAGCATCTGTGGTCTGACCGTGGAATGCATGTGTTAGAACTGGGCCTCCTCACCTGCTAATGGCAGTGCAGTGGATGACATGCCTAGAAGCACATGATAGACATGACAGCTAACTGAAATCCTCAGAGGACGTCTGGTACCATGGCAGAGGATGGAAGACAGAAAAAATTGGACAACTAACCTGGCCAAGCTTTGACAGGAAGTATCCAGGCAAATTGAGTCTCTAAGGTGAACTATTTCAGCCAGTGGACCTTGGAAGGATTTCCTCAACCTTGGAGCAATGAAGTCAACAACATGTCAGAAGTGTCAAAATCACGAGCAGTACCCTTGGAACATGCTCCACATCAGGGACCCTGGGATGATATCAAGTGGCCGTCCTGCATCCCCAGGGTGCTGATGCAGTTGGGCTGCTGGAAGTGGCCCTCCTCCCTTCCTTCCCATTTGACCCAGGTACAGGAAGAAAACAAAACAAGAAAAGAACCAAAGAAAGTGTGTGAGAGAGACAGTGAGAGAAAGAGAGACAGTGAGAGAGACAATGAGAGAAAGAAAGAAAAAAGAAAGAGTGAAAAAAAGAAAGAAACAAACACTTGGAAAAAATGGTCTCATCCACTTTCCCCTGTTCCTTTGTCCACACCACAATCAGCAGTCCACAGGTGTATACATCCTTCTCAACTACGTAAACATCAGCAAAATAAAATTAAAAAGAAAAGAACACAAGGATCTAATGCATTGCTGGTGTTTCGAATGGATGAGTAAGGATTGGCAAGGATGTTGGAGGCTTAGGTGGGAGATGCATTCTCCAAAAGGTGGAAGATAATTAAGAAAGTATTAATAACACTGGCATGGGAGCCTATTGGCTAAAGTACCCGCCTTGAATGCACCAGGATCCTATATGGATGCCACTTCATATCCTTGCTGCTCCACTTCCCTTCCAGCTCCCTGCAGTTGAAGATAGACAATTGTGGCCACCGGGAGAATGAACCAACAGATGGAAGATCTTTGTCCCTTCTTCTCTTTGTAAACCTGACTTTCCAATAAAAAGCAAACAGAAAATTTCTTTTAAAATTTGCTCTTTTTATTGTAAAGTCAGATATACACAGAAGAGATGAGAAAGAGAAGATTTTCCATCCGACGATTCACTCCCCAGGTGATCACAACCGCCAGTGCTGTGCAAATCAAAGCCAGGAACCAAGAACTTTCTCCAGGTCTCTTATGAGGGTGCAGGGTCCCAATGCTCTGGGCTGTACTCAACTGTTTTCCCAGGCCACCAGCAGGAAGCTGGATGACAAGTGGGGCTGCTGGGATCAGAACCAGTGCCAATATGGGATCCCGGCATGTCCAAGGCAAGGACATAACTGCCTTAACACTTCCCCTGGCCCAAAAGTAAATAAATCTTAAAAAAAAAAAAAAGGCAAAAAAGATACTCCAGGTAAATAGAAATTGAAAATGAGCAGGGATTAACCATGCTTGTCATAAACAAAGTAAACTTTAAGACAAACATGGTTAACGAGACCATGATCCTACACAATGATAATGAAATCAATTTAACAGACAATATAACCACTGCAAATACATATACCCCTAATGCTAGAGCACCATTTTATAAACAGAAATTTAGTAGATCTAAAAGGAGACTTAAGTTGTAATAATACCAGGTTAATTCAAACTCCACTTTCATCTATGAACAAATCAACAAGACAAAAAAGTCAACCAAGAAATAACAAACTCAATACACACAAGGACCAAGTGGAGCCTGCTCCTGCCAGCAAAGCCAGTAATTTGGACAGGGAGAGGGTCTGAGGCAGAAGCACCAAGAGACCAGTCATGGTGGAAGTCTCTCCAAAGCCTCCGTTTTTTCCTCCTTTCAGTATTCTTTCCCCCAAGTCCTTTAGCCAGACAACAGCATGCCAATGAGTCCCATTAGTCCAGGTGCTTTTAGCCACAACCCCATTTCCTGTTACTGCTCAGCTTAACCAGTGCTAATTAACTCCTTCCCCACAACAGACCCAACACACTTGTACACTATCCCACCTCACACTTGTAGAATGCACATCCTTTTCATCAGCACATAGAACACTAAGACTGATCATACAGTAGGCCACAAAACAACTCTCAACAACAATTTAAAAAGACTGGCTCCTATCTTGGGTCTACCCAGCCTCAGCTTTTACAGCCATTGGGAGAGTTAACAAGTAGATGGCATGGAAGATCTCTTCATCTTGGCCACTCTCTCTGTCACTCTTCATTTCAAATACATACAATTATTCTTTTTTTTTAAAAAGTCACTTGAATGAGACACAAAAGAGAAAACAATGGTTGCTACAGAAATAGAATCAGTCAGAACTATTATGAACATATACCCACAAATCAGGAAATTTGGAAGAAACTTTGAAATCTACAGGAACACGCAATTTGCCTAAATTGAGTCACAAAGACAGAGAACACTTGAACAAATAACTGGTAATGCAATAGCTCAGGACCAAATGCCTTCACTGATGACTTCTCCCAAACCTCCAAGAAACAGCTAATACCAGTTCTTGTCAAACTGTTTGAATTACTCCAGTAGTATTTTGATAGGCCAACAGGCTCTTTCTTGGCTGAGAAAGAACTTGATGAGAACAATCCCAGTCACAGTAGCTACAGAAATACACACAGGGGCAGGAGCAGTGAAGCAGGCTGATCCTCTGCTGCAGCACTGGCATCCCATATGGGCACTGGCTCATGTCCTGGCTGCTTCACTTCTCAACCCACAGAGACTTTGTCTGTGGTGAACCTAGACCTGACTCTGTGTGTGCTTGCCAGTACAGGGTCTGGCTTAGTCTGACAACACATTAGCCTGTGCTGGGTCAGTTCTGTGTCAAGCCCATCTCTTACACAACCAAATGGATGCTTCAGTCCAGCCCAACCCAGCCCACTACACATTTGATCCTCAAACATACCAGCAGGAACTGTAGCCTAGTCAGAGTGACCCCCCAAAACAACCATCCAATATACTTCTCACTATGTGCAGCAGACTGCTCCTGTCTGACACACATCCTATTCAGCTCTTGTATACATCAATGGGCGTTTTAGCCTAGTTCAACCCAACAAACACTGTTATCAGCCCACACTCATTCCAGTAGATGCCACTGCTTGGCCAGACAGTCCCACCCGCAGCCCTGCTTCTCATGCTTACCCGTGGGAGTCACAGCTCATTAGAGAGGAGCCCACAGTTTCCCTACTGGGAGATTTGCACTCCCCTGTGGTTCTGCAGTCTAGCTTGACAGGAGTTGCCCCTAGTCCCAGCATTTGCCAGCCCTGATGCTGTGGCAAAGTCTGGGCAGCCTGCACTACTTCTGACTCATGCATGCACAGTGTTTATAGTCACCCGGCCTTGCTGCCTTTCCCAGCTCACATGCAGCCCTATGGGTATTGGTCTGGCCTGGTCTGCCCTCAGTCCCAGTTCTCACTTCCACCAGTACGAACCCCTGCTGCTACCCTATGATGCTTACCCACCTCTCCCTGGTCTCACATGTACTGGCGGGTGCTGCAGCCTGATATGGCATGGCCTGCCTCACCTTGGCATTTGTCACCTGATGCTGCAGCCTGACCTGGCATGTTTTGTGCCTAATTCCAGCTCATGCTGGTGAGAACTGCAGCCTAGCCTAGCCTAGCCAGCCCTCAGTCACAATCCTAAATGTGAACTGGCTGCTGTTACAGCCCAACTAGGCCTGTCCTGCACCCTATCCTGGTTCTCAGCTCTGCCAGTGGCTGACAAGAACTGGTCCAGCCTGGCCCGCCCCCATATCTGAGCCACAGGTATACTGGTGGGTACTGTAATCGGGCCTGGGATGGGCTGCTCCCTGCCCTGGTTCTTGTGCTTACCTGCAGGGACTGTGTCCTGACGGAGATGTTCCCCAAGCTCCTCTATCAGGTCTCCTCCGAGTTCTTTCAGAAAAGCAGAAATTACACTATCACACGTGTGTTCTCAAGCAGTCGGAGGTGTCCTGGCTTGAAGAAAAGATGAGACTTGCAGTTAGATGATGATACATTAGGAGACCTTAAACCAACTTGAAACAGGAAAAAATTGACATAGTGGCAGACTACCCATACTTCATGTATGATTAGATAAAAGCATAATATGCAACAGAGAAGTAAGGATAAGTTGACTTGAATTTGAAAAAGAAAATCTCAAGGAGTTACTTTGGGATGAAACCATCATCCTCACTGCTAACACTCTCCTTAGGGATCCACACAAATGAATCATTGCAACTCAGGAAATCCAATTGCATGGAGTATCTCAATGCATCAATGAAAAACGTCCTCAGGTGAGACAAATTTAAACAACAACAAAAATCTTTCCAAAGCAGCTGGAAGATGGCCCCAGTGCTTGGGCCCCTACCACCCTCAAGGCAGACCCTGATGAAGTTCCTGACTTGGGCCTGGTACAGCCCTGATCTTTGAGCCATTTGGGAACCACAGGGCAGCTAAAACATTTGTCTGTCTCTCCTGCTCTTCCTGCAATTTTTTTTTAAATTATGTTACATTTTTTCATTATATTACAATATATTTCAAAAAATGACCTTACAGATGTCTTATCTGCTCTATAAGACCTGGAATAAAAGAACACTTAGAATTAGAACACAGAGACATTAAGCTGTAATACTCACTTGTACTGAACCATTACTACCAAAGGGTAAGTATTTTTTTTAAATAAGCAGATGTGCGGCTATGCAAAATAAAATACAATCTTGTTAAAACAGAACACTAAACTTGACTTTAATACCTATGGAAAGGTGGCTATAGAAAGGAGGTGGTTTTGTTTTCTTTCTTCAACACATCTGGTTCTGGCAGCAAGTTGCATTATACATTTAAAGCAGTGTGTGCCCTGAAAGCTCATAGCTTCTGTTTGTGCGTATAACTTGGATCAGAGACCAGACACATGGAAAAGCACTGTTCTCAACACCCTCAACATCTCTCCTTCCAGGAGGTCGCTCAAGACTTTCCTTGCTGATGGTACTTAGTAATTGTTTTACTCCAGTTAACACTGGATGCTTTAATATTCTCTAAAAGAGAAGTGATGAAAGCGTGTAGAAACCCTCCAGGGTCCAATTTTCACTTCCCATTCCCCAAGTAGTAAAATAGCAGCTCTACATGTTATAAAAAAAAAACAGAGATAATTTAAATTTCTTATTCGTTTTTAACCATAGTAACTTTACAATGCTTTTAGATTTAGTTGAATTTCCAAAATGAAAATGTCAGTTGTCAAATATTTTAGGAATTTATTAAAGTATTACATACAATTGATTTCCTTTTAGCTACCCCTCCCCCTCAAAAAAGTATATATGGTGTATGTGTGTGCATTTACTTATCTTACCTTAACTAAAGTTCTCTTTTTCTGGTTGGACATGAGAAACCAGTTTAAGCAACCAATGCTTGCTTTTATTTCTATTATAAGCAATAATTCACATCTTTTTTCACTAAATATGACTGCTGCATTTTCATAATAAAATGCACAAAAGGCAATACCAAAAAATGCCTTCTGAACAGGCTTCTGCCAGGCAACCCACTAAGTTAGACTCTACCAAAGTGGCACTACGACAATATAGGCATCCAGTTTCTTTTCCTTTTTTCAAATTTGTCAGTTATTTACCACAATTATTTTGTCTAGTAGGAGACAATTTCATGCTGGACTTAACTCTTAAGAGTTGACATAAACCAAAACTGGACAGCAGTCAACTGGAATCACATTCCAATGGTCTCCAAACATACTTGGCTAAAACACATCTTTTCTTCTCCTTGATTGATTTTGCATTAATTTTATTAAACGTATAGCAAATAACACTGCAAAGTTTTTCTCAGAGCTTTTTCTTAGGGGACTCTGCAATTCTTGCCAACAAGTACCTGGTGAACTTGTAGACAGCGCTGTTCCTGGCTCCCCAGCAGGTGGCGGCCCCGCGCCCTGGCCGCACGCCCGCTGCATCCCGCCGGCAGCACAGAGGCTCGCGCGGCCCGGGAGCGCGCTCGCCCCGCAGCTCGGGCGGCTGGCAGGCGGGCTGGCGCCGGTCGCGTCGGCCGGCAGCAGGGCCCATGTGGAAGCTCCTCCCGGCCGCGGGCCCAGCCCGAGGTAAGGACAGAGAGGGACAGAGGGCCCGGGTTCGGAGGAGCGCCAACGCGGGGAAGGAAGTCGGGGAGGGTCGCTTCCGGTCGGGTCCCCTTACCTTCCGGGGCACGGCGGAACGGGAAGGAAACCGGGGGTCTGGCACGCGCGTGGTGGTCCCGGCTGCGCCGTGGCGGGGAAGGCCGGCTGTCCTCGGCCCCGGGGTTGGGCGGGTGGACGCCCGGCCCTGTCCCGCGCTGTGCAGTGGCCGTGGGACCCCGGCGCTGTGCAGTGGGCATGGGCGGTGGGGCGGCTGGCCCTTCGCTGAGCCCTGGCTGAGGTGGCTGAGGAGAAACAGGTGCACGGAGAAGCTTTCTGTTGTTTCAGACGCGTTTCCGTGCTGTCAGCAAGAGGGGACAGCCCAGACTTTTTCTTTTTGAAAAAGAGACCATCTTTTGCATCTCCCAGTTCACTGCCCTAGATGTGTCCAACGCTGGGGCTGGTCAGGCCCAAGCCAGGAACCCCGGGATGCAAGGGCCTCAGTTGCTGTCTGTCAGAGTGCGCCTTGGCGGTGCTGGGCTGGACCCCCTGCACAAACCTGGGATGCTGGTGTCCCAGGGGAGCTGCAGCAAAAGCCAGGCCACTTCACCCCGCCCCTTTCCTGTGTGTCTGCACTTCCCTAGTGGAAGTTGCTAGTTGCCTGCCTGCTGTTTGTGGTCCTTATTGGCTGATAAAAGAAAGGGTAAGCCAGTAAAGCCATGATTGCCTGTGTGCTCAGGGTGTTCACATTGTGATTGGGAAAAAAAGGGTACCTAGAGAGGCAGTCTTGACTGGATATTTAAGAAGTTTAAACAAAGAAAAATGAAGATTTCTTTATTTCACTTGAATGAGAGCAGGAAAGACAGAGAAGTCTTCCATTCTCGGGATGGCCTCCATGGCCAGAGCTGGACCAGTGCAAAGCTGGGAGCCAGAAGCTTCGTCTTGTCTCCCATGTGTATATAGGGGTGCAAGGACTTGGGCCATGCTCCACTGCTTTCCCAGCCAGAAGCAGGGAGCTGGATGGGAAGTGGAGCAGCTTGGGGTTGAACCAGTGCCCACATGCGATGCCAGCATGCAAACTGAGAATTAATATGATCTGGCCTCTGAAGGACTTTTGTAAACACCAACATAGGCATCCCTATGAACTTGCACCAGTTCAAGGCCAGACCGTAGAGATTTCAGTTTGTCTTGTGGCTCTCAGAGTTCCTGTGGATGTGTGGAAAGAAGACAGACCTGAGACAAATTGAGTTTGGCACAGCATACCTGAGGAAAGGCTTCATGAATCAAGGTGTGGCCCGAGCCAGTGGAGGTTGAGAGAGCAGTACCCAACAGTCCAGCAGACGGTAGGAGGTGACTTCCAGAAACAGCGGGATTGGTTAGTTGCAGCTTACTGTTGGCCTGGTCTGAGTGTGCAGTGAGAAGGCATTTGCCCTGCAGGACCTGGTCTGAGTAGGTGACAGGCTGAGACTTAGCCATCTGTAACGGGGATAGCACTGCTAAGTGCAGACATTTGGCACTGTGTAGCAGGGCTAGCCTGGGAGTCCTGTTCAGCCTGTCTCCAGCTGTTGGGTAAAGTGCACCCTTGGCCACAGCTCAGAGTTGAGTTACTGCCACCTGTGGGCAGACCTAGCTTGAGTCCAGGGCTCAGATACCCTGGATGTTTGGGCAGTGAGTCAGAACGCGTATCCCTGTCCCCCAAATAAGTAAAGTAAGGTAAAAATTTACAAACAAAGAATAGGGGCTGGTGTGATGGCTCAACTGGCTAATCCTCTACTGTTAGCACTGGCATCCCATATGGGCACTGGTCCTTATCCCAGCTGCTCCACTGCCCATCCAGCTCCCTGCTTGTGGCCTGGGAAAGCAGTCCAGGACGACCCAAAGCCTTGGGACCCTGCACTCAATATGAGAGACCTGGAAGAAGCTCCTGTCTCCTGGTCTCAGATCGGCACAGCTCCGTTGTTGTGGCCATTTGGGGAGTGAACTAATGGATGGAAGCTCCAGTCAAGTTCATATTGGGACTTTACTTGGGATTTCAGTAAATGTATACTTTGGGAAAGTATTAATTCCTTTCACTGTTGTTATTCCTTGAGAGAAATGGTATGCCCTTGCATTAATGTAGGTGATCTTTTGATATTCCTCAATAAGGGTTTAATAGAAAATGGGAGTTTAATTTATGTAAAACTGATGAACATTGAAATAGCAAAGTGTTTTCTTGACACATCATGAATTTTATCCTATATAATGTACACATTTATGTATGTGTGTTTGTGTCTCATGATTTTATTCCTCTTAGAACCATACAGACTTTTGACTGGCACTGAGTACATCGTTGGAAGGAAAAACTGTGCTATTCTAATTGAAGATGATCAGTCAATCAGTCGAAATCATGCAGTGTTAACCGCTAATTTTGCTGTGACCAACTTGGTATGTTCCTGATTGTATTTTGCTAGCTTGCAGTGAGAGTTGAAATCACAGTATATTGCCTTGATGTGAGAGAGAGAGAGCTGTTTGAGCATTTTATGCTTTTGTTTCAGTGACTTAGAAACTTGGAGAAAGTAGGTTGTATTTGTATTTGTTTACTTAACAACATTGACTGTTCCGTGGTGAGAGTTATTGGGCTTAGCTGTGATACATTCATGATGCTCGCTCTTAAAGAGAGTATGTGACTGATGGACACAAAGTCTGGGTGTGTAAAGGGAGGCTCCGCAGTGGGAATGACGGTTTTCCCGGGGAAGACAACTGTTGCTTCTGATCCACAGCTCTTTTGAATGGCTTGGAAGGTATTTGTTAGCTTTCACCAGAACCACGGGTGATGAGAGTGATAAAAATATATGAATAAATACGTTCAAAATCATCGTGGTAGGAACAAGAAAGTAAGCAGTTAGTTTGAACAAATGTGACAAATGCACAAGTGATGGATTAGTTTACTGGCATTTAGGTTTTGTGTCTATTTGTGTTGTAGAAAAGCATTATTATAGAAGTTGCAATAGAAAAAATAAAATTATTACCAAAAGTCAGAACCTCTAGGCTTTATGCCTTGTTTTCATTCGCCCAGTGTTTACCATGTGCTTTTGATAATGTAAACAAAACAAAACGAAAACTTAGGACTGAAGCTGTCATGTTATGCATGAAGCAAACTGCTGCCAATCATAAAATTCTCAAGTGTGTGAAATGGAAGGGTTGGGAAAGTCCCAACTGATTTACAGAAATAAAGAAAAATGTGTATTCCAAGAGTTATAATTCTGAAATTCAGAGATTTTCTTAAAGGGAGATATTTATGTTAATTGCTAATTAGTCCTTTGAAGGCAGCCAGAACAGTAGCTGTCATTCCCTGTGGTGGCAGGATATGCAGCTATTTATTATTTTACCCTTTTCAAAAGTTATCAAATGTCTCCTGTGAATCATTTCCCCCTGGATTGTATGTGCTTGAGCTGTAAAAGACTTGTAATTACTTCTCTAATTTTCAGAGTCAAACTGATGAAATCCCTGTATTGACAATCAAAGATAATTCTAAATATGGTACCTTTGTTAATGAGGCAAAAATGCAAAATCACCTTCCCCAAACTTTGAAGACAGGGGATAGAGTCACCTTTGGAGTGTTTGAAAGTAAATTCAGGTATGGATTTGTTTATTTAATTTTTGTTGTTAAAGATTTACTTTTACATGAAAGGCAGATGAACAGAGAGAAGGAGAGACTAGGAGATCCTGCCTTCACTCCCAAGTTGCCACAACAGCCAGAGGTGGGCCAATCTGAAGCCAGGAACCAGGAGCCTCTTCTGAGTCTCCCACATGGCTGAGGAGTCCCACAACTTTGGGCTGTCCTTGACTGCCTTCTCAGGCCACAAGCAGGGAGCTGGATCCACATTTGGGAAGCTGGGGTATGAACTGTTGCCCATATGAAATCCTGGTGGAAGCTTAGTGTACCAAACCAATGGCACTGGCCCCACACTTTTTAAATTAGATTAAAGTGGACAATTTTATTTCACAACAATTGAATTTTAAAGCAAAGATAAGGATTATAAGGTGACAGTATAATTGACTTCCCATTTAGCACAGTAGTGAACTCTGTGTTGTTGGTATATTTTGTGGATCAAAGGTGGGGGGTGACAGGTGGGTAAAAGTTTGTGTTAGTCCCTGTGAGTTGTGATAGGAGCCTCGTTTGTTTGATGCTTCATAAGTTAAAATGTAATGTTGATGTTGGCCATGTCTTTTTCTTCTTTGGGAACACAAGATTTAGGAGGTAAGAATTTCCTAAGTTACAAATTTATAATGTGTCAAAATTAAACGAATAATATGTTGTAAGTTTAAAGTTGTAAAGTATTGTAAAGTTGTAAAGTCTTTGTAACTGTGATAACGTAACTTTATTGTCATTCACAGGGTAGAGTATGAACCTTTGGTTGCCTGTTCTTCTTGTTTAGATGTGTCTGGGAAAACTGCTCTAAATCAAGCTGTGTTGCAACTTGGAGGACTCACTGTGAACAGCTGGACAAAAGAATGTACTCACCTTGTCATGATGTCAGTGAAAGTCACCATGAAAGTAAGTTGAACTGTGTTCCCATATTAAAACAAGTTCTGGGACCTTGAGTGAACTCACCACAGCACAGAGTTAGCACCATGTGTCTCTTCTGTCAGATTGTCTTCCTCCAGTCTCTGACATTGTCTCATGGTCTCATGCTCCCTCAGTTAAGTTATAATCACACAAAGAATTCTTTGCTGTATCTTTAAAGCCCTGAGATGTATAGATATGTACCTTCCAAAGATGCTGACTAGTCATTAAAGCAGTGATGTATTTTGGTATATTTTCAGGTTTTGCATTTTCATCAGATTTGATATATCCAAAGGTAATTGAAGAATGGCATTTAAGATGTGATTCGTTAAACAGGCTGACTGTGCAAAAGATATGTGGGATTGTTTTAGGCTGAAAAGCAACAAATACTTTGATTCCTGTGTTTGAAGATGCAAAAACCTTTTGTTATAATTAATTAAATATTAGTGTTATATTCTAATTTATACATAAATGGCTCTTATGTGTGTACATATATGTGTATGCAATAGCTGTCAAAGAGAAAGGCTCACTGCCCAGATTGAACCTGAAGTTAAATTTGTATCATGGTGAAGTTACCCTGAACAAAGATAGTTCCCTCTTGGAAAATTTAGGACATTGATTTTTTTGCTGCTGCAGCAAGACTAACTTAAAAAATACTCATGTTGATAAATTCACAGGTAATAGATTCATAAAACATTTGTAAAACCAAAATATGCATGAGGACATATTTAAATGTTAGCTCAGCATAACCCCCTTAAGATATTAAGTTACTCAAATGGAATAGGTAATGATACATGGGTTTAGAAGCCTGAAATAAGGTCAAAGATGCTTTGATTGTCTTGGAGATTTTGCCAAGTCCTCAGAGCTGGACACTTCTAGTACCTGACATGCTAATGACCACCATTAGAGACACCACCATGGAGTGTGCAGCGTTTCTTCTTTGGTGTTTCTGATCACTTTTTGCAAAATAAACATCAAAATAAACCCTGATCATTAGTTTTTGCTCAGCGTTCTCAATGCATAGTTAGGCTTATAGGGTTTTGTTTTGTTTTGTTTTGCTTTTTACTTTTGTTTTGTTTAGATTATTGAATGTTAGAACCAGAGGGAAACCTGAGGAGTATTTAGTTCAGCTTTTATATTTTGAAGAGAAATTGCGACTTGGAGCAGTTACGTGCTTAGCCCAGAATCGCGCGTGTTGCAGTTTTATTCAGTTGGATATTTCAACCCAGCCATGGCTCTTCCATACCCCTACCAAGCTCACACATGGTTCAGTAAGGGCTGAGACCTAACCTAGTCTGTCACACAACCCTCCCCGGTCCTCCAGAGCACCAGATGGTGTTGGAATTTGGCCTGGCTTGGTGCTTCCCATCCCAGTCCACAATTGTGCCAAGTGAGATTACGATCGTATCCTGATCAGAATGTAGCCTCAGTTCCAGCCCATGCGCTCCTTGGTGGGAAACTCAACCCAGCTAGGGTGTCCTGTTATTTCCCCAACCGGGCCTCTGCCCTGCCATAGAGCAGGTGTAGGCCGGTGGTTGTTCTGTCTCTGTTTGGCAGAGCCCCTCACTTGTCGTGGCCCCTTGGATGCTGTGGCTTAGTGCCTCTGCCTCACACAGATCAGTATGTGCAAGGACCTACCTGGCATGAGCTGTGCTCCAACCTGATTTCTGTTGTTACTTGTGAGTTAAGGTTTGTTCAGCCTTGCCCCTTCTGTCCCCTTCCAGTGGCAGCCCGGCCCACCCCACATCCTGTTTAAAGATGCACATTTGGGTGCTGCTGCCTTGACCTACCCTGACTGTTGTGGATTCCTTTACCCATGAGTGATGGCAGATGTCGTGGTCACACCTAGCTTAGACCATTGCAACCCCAGCTTGGGAACTAACCCGGGGGATTTGTATTCCAAAGGGTTGGACCCACACAACCCCACAGAGCCTACCCCCAGCCCAAGTTCTCTTGTGTGCTGGAGAGTGTCTTGATTTGCCAAATGTGACCACTCCACAACTCCAACACTCAGTCGGGCAATGGTACCCAACACTGCCAAAGAGGCCCCCATCCATAGCTTCGGTGTGGGCTAGTATATGGTGATCAGTGATGTTCAATACTAATATCCCATCTCTGTATTCATAATTGAGCTGTTGCATCTGTCTTACTAAAATTATCTTCTGGACACTTCCCCCAAACCCCTAGGTCTTGGTCCCCTTGCCTGCTTGTATCTTTCATGACACTGTCACTGAGAATACCCGAAAATTCACTTTGCACCTACACTCAACCTAGTCTTAGTCATGAGTGACCCAGGCAGCAATTACATATCTTGAAAACCCCAGAGTTTGCCCTTCCGGGCGGCCAGCAGGCAAAGCCTGGCACCACTTGGTGCACTGGCCGCCCTGGGGGAGGCCGAGGACTCGTTCACTGCCTTGTGGCAGTGTCTTTGGCGTGAGTCCCCCGCATTGGGTCCGACCCGGCAGGGGCACCCCCCACAGTCGCCACACTGCAGGGAGCGTCAGTTGCCCCCAAGCCCAAGGACCGAACTCCTCCCAAACTCCCCCAGCCGCATGGTCTTAGCAGCTGGGCGGAGCTAGGAATTTCCACCCAGTTCCCAAGTTCCCTCATGGCGGACTTACCCTGAGGGAAGAGCTCTCTTGGGTCCTGGGGGAGGCCGAGGACTCGTTCACTGCCTTGTGGCAGTGTCTTTGGCGTGAGTCCCCCGCATTGGGTCCGACCCGGCAGGGGCACCCCCCACAGTCGCCACACTGCAGGGAGCGTCAGTTGCCCCCAAGCCCAAGGACCGAACTCCAGTCTTGTGTTGATTGAACTTAAATACTCTATGTTGCATTTGGATGATCTCATTCACATAGGAAGTTGGGATCTGTCAGATTCCAGTCTTTAGAGATACCCTCAATCTGGTCGCTCCTAACACCTGCATTATTGAAAACATATGTATAAACTGTATAGTTGGATTATTTCCTAGAATATGCCAGCTCTTTCTTATTTTAATTGCCCGCAGTAGTATTTTCTAGTCCTTTATGAGTTTGTGGATGTGTGTTACTTGAGGCTGATAGCTTGATTCACGTTAGTTCACAGTTTCGTTCTCTCTTTATGTGTGCAACAGCTTCCACTGAGCCTAACCAGTTGCTCCTTGATTTACTGTGTTGAAGAGGCTTTATTCTATACTCTTACTCCTTCTGAAAGCAGTAAGGCTCCACAGAAATTTCCATTTATCTCTTAATGTGTATTGCCTCTGCAGGATGGGTTTGATTTCTTCAGCCTGAACGTGTACTTGTAATGTTTTTCAATTGGAATGCATTTTTAAAGTCTTTGTGTTATTCTGCCTATCCCAAAGGACTACTGTGTCATTGGCTTCTGATAATTGAGTAGTTCTGGTTTGTGGTATAAAACTGAGCAAATATGAAATTCTATTTTACAGATTGTGACTTCGTTTATCAAATTAAGAAAAGGAAAGAAAACAGTTATTAGAAAGGCATGTTTGTAGTTTATAACATGAATGTTTTCTTTAGAAGAAGCTATCATAATGACTATATATATATATATCCACATATATTTTCTTTCTTTTAGACGATTTGTGCACTCATTTGTGGATGCCCCATTGTAAAGCCAGAGTATTTTACTGAATTTCTCCAAGCAGTTCAGTCCAAGAAACAGCCTCCACAAATAGAAAGGTATATTATGTGTTTCTAATTAACAACATATGACAGAAAAGATGAGCGCATTGACTTTCGGTTAACTCTCTGGAATTCTAGATGTGATAGTTGCTGTGTTCCACGTTTCTCTTGTGTGTGTGTATGTGTTCCATGTTAATGAGATTTTTTCAGTTAGTATGTAAAGAAAGAGTACCCCAAATTCTTAATTGGTTATTTCTTAGCTCTGTGAAACAGATGTTAACTGCTAATATATAACAAAAAACTGTTGAAGCATGGTAAATAGGTCAGCATTGCTCATGTGCCAGTGTCGGGGTCATGGGTGAGGTACCCTTGGTAGTGGGGCTGCAGCAACCCTCTTGGAGAACCACATATTTGCACGTAAATGTTGACGCCACTGGGCACTGCTTTTGTTACCTCATTTCAAAATGAGATCACTGACACAGTTTGGTAGCTCTAGATTAGTAATTCCATCTATAAAATCTGAGCACATGGCTTGCTCTCATCCTACTTGCTTGTTAAAAGAAATGTTGATTGTTGGTAATTGCAACAAAATGTGGATGATATGTGCCAGATTTGTGAGCCACTAGACTTGGAGATCTGGCCTAGACTTGGAGAGGGGTAGTACCTAATACCACCCCAAGTCCCAGGTGAGGGGAGTGCCTCCTGAGGAAGGGGCCATCTGATTGACAAGTAGATAGACCACATTGCATAAGGTAGGGGGCTTTGGCTTCCAGTTGGTGATGCTAAGCTTGCTACTTATGTGTCCTGTTTCACTCTCCCACTAAGAGATTTCCAACCCCTTTTCTTAAGGGCTGCTGGAGGATATACATTTGTCTCATCTTCTGTCGCTGCTTCTTACTGATTAGGTGTGAAGATCTTCATGTCCTGGGTTCAGAAAGCTCTCTGCATCTCACCTAATGGCTACATCTCAGGAGCCATAGAAAACTTAGCTGATTCTGCTGGCTGTGTCCATAGATTACTGTCACTAACTCTGAGAAGTTTCTGGCCTTTTTTGTCTTTGAGGTGGCGTCTGAGGACCTCAGCTGGTTTGTAGGAGCAGGCCGACTCATTCGAGTGCACCTGGACATGCTCCCCTCCTCTGCACTGGAGTCAGCGCAGGCAGCACAGCATGCACTGTGTGTTTCAGCACTAGGACACACAGCCCACTCTGTGCTCCCTGAGATTGGGGATCCTGCCTTGTCTGGGACCAACCAGTCCCGAAAGCCTGGGGTTCTTGGTGACACCAAAGGCTGTTGGTTGGATCACCCCACATTTCCTGCCATGGGTGCGACTGCCTGTAACCTGTTAGACCCCTAACCTGCTGCCCAAAAGCCATCAGTGCAGCCAGATTGTACGATTACAAGCTTACATTGATTCTATAGAATGACTGGCTATTTCAAATGGCCTTAAGTTTAGGAGTGTTAAGCAAGTTAAGAATTTCCAAAGTATTTTTATCAGCATGTTGTAGTGTTACTAATATTTTTATTTTATAAGGATTTATTTATTCTTATTGGAAAGACAGATCAGGTTTATGACGAGAAAGAGAGACAGAGACAAAGATCTTCCATCCGCTGGTTCACTTCCCAAATGGCTGCAACAGCCAAAACTGAGCTGATCTGAAACCAGGAGCCAGGAGCTTCTTCTGGGTCTCCCAGATGGGCACAGGATCCCAAGGTTTTGGGCCTTCCTCTGCTGATTTCCCAGGCCATAAGCATGGAGCTGGATGGGAAGTGGAACGGCTGGAACACAAATCAGCACCCATGTGGGATGCCAGTGCTTACAAGACAAAGATTTAATCTCTGAGCCATTGTGCTGGGCCCACTCATTTTATTGTTAGAGGAGTAACAAAGTGGTTCATGTTCATAAGCATGTCTTATTGCATACATATGTATGAGCTATGTTTTTATAGGACTGACAGATATAGATTTGTTAATATCAGCATCACCATAAACACATGGTTATGTGTTATGCTACATCACGATGGGTATGAAGTACTGGGTAGTAGTGGTAGTTTGTGATTTTTGTCCTTCTACTTCCAAAAATTTATTTATTTTATTGGAAAGGCAGATTTATAGAGAGTAGGACAGAGAGAAAGATTTTTCATTCCACTGGTTCAATGTCCAAGTGGCCACAATGGCCAGAGTTGAGTCGATCTGAAGCCAGGAGCCAGAAGCTTCTTCCAAGTCTCAATGTGGGTGCAGATCCCAAGATGTTGGGCAATCCTCCAAGGCTTGTGCAGGCCACAGGCAGTGAGCTAGATGGGATGTGGAGCAGCCAGGACACAAACTGGCAGTCAAATGGGATCCCAGGGCATGCACCGCAAGGATTTAGCCATATGGGATCCCAGTGCTTTCAAGGCAAGGATTTAACCACTGAGCCATTGTGCCAGGCCTCCACATCCTCTTTTGATGTCACCTTCAGCCTAATACACATCCTTTGAGGTCCTGAGTGTGGACATGGTCACTAGGGGAAATGCAGAAGCAGGCAGGTGACAGAACCTTGGAGAGCCACTGTCAGCAGGCTTCTGTGGACGTTGTCTGAGATGCTGAGTCTCCTTTGTAGCTTGCTCTTTGCTTTTCTGCTGGCCCCATCCACGTGGCCTTTCATTTTCTGCCCTGGTGGCCCAATGTGGTGCTGACCTCCTCCAGAGTGGCCAGAAGAGGATCAGGGTAAAGCATACACACAGAGGCGGCACAACAGCCTAGAATCACTGCCCATGTTACCTTGTGGATGTTTGAAGATCTGGCCAAAGACTATCCAGTGCTGGTGACCTTGAAGGGAAAAGAGAGAAAGGAGGGAGGGAGAAAAGTAAAGAAGGAAGGCAGGCAGGCAGTAGTAGGTTTTTTTTTTTTTTTAATATTTATTTTTATCTTGGGCCAGGTGTGGTGGTCTAGCAGCTAAAGTTCTCGCCTTGCAACACGCCGGGATCCCATATAGGTGCTGATTCTAATCCTGTCAGCCCTGCTTCTTATCCAGCTCCTTGCTTATGGCCTGGGAAATAGTGGAAGATGGCCCAAAGTCTTAGAATCCTGCACCCACGTGGGAGACCTGGAGGAAGTTCCTGGGTCCAAGCTTTGGATCGGCTTAGCTTCAGCTGGTGCAGTCTCTGGGGTGTGAATTATCAGATGGAAGATCTTCCTCTCTGTTTCTCCTCCTGCTCTGTATATCTGACTTTGCAATAAAGATGAAATAAATCTTTACATCATGCATATGGCATAGGTTGGGGGCAGACCAGGCTGAACCCATTCACATCAACTGCTGGCGAATCTGAGCACCAGCATAGAGTGTGGGTCAGGCCAGTTTCGGTCACAACACATACCAGTGCACATTGAGGAATGCCAATGTGAGATGAGCCATACCAGATATGGTTGCAGTGCCCAAACAGCACACGTGAGAACCGGGGGGGTCGGGGGGAGGGAGAGGAGGTAAAGCTGCCAGGGGAATGTGGGCTCCTCTGCTGGACAACCACTCCTACTGGAGAGCATGAGTTGGGATGGGGGCAGACCAGACTAGGCAGGGCTACAACACCTGTGGGCCTCATGTGAGCTAGACTTGGGGAAGGGCCAGGTTTGGCTGACTGTTCTGACTGGTGCAAGCAAAAATTAGAGTGGGTGAGGGTTAGTTGGGCTTTGCCACATCATCAGATGGCAGAGGCTGGCACTGGAGTCCAATTCTGTTAAGTTAAGTGCCAGAACCACCTGGAGAGTGCACAATCCGGAAGTTGGCTTGGCCTAGTAGGAAGATAGTGGGCACCTCCCTTGTGGGTAACCACTCCCACTGGAGAGCATGAAAACCAGGGCAGGGACAGGGGTGGCTAGACAGAAAGGCATCTGCAAGTGTGTGTGTGGGGGCTGGATAGTAGGT